ATGATCAATAAAATTTTTAACTTGTTTAACTGCTTCTTCTAAATGTAAATAATGTAAAAATGTATGTTTGCTATATATATAGTTTAGCGTTTTCTAACTGAATAGGAAGCATATTTTCAATCGGAGTGAATTGTATATCAGAAGATGTATACTATGTATTTGGTATACATAAATGACTTGTAGAACTTGTACTTGAAATAGCGTCGTTATCAAAATGGATTTCAGTTTCGTTGGTATCTATCTTATAACAATTTTTCTAAATTATTTTTCGGTTTTCTAACAATACTTTTATGATAAGTACCCTTATCCGTTTTTATTAAAATACCTTTATGCACGACCGGGCGATAAAGTCCAGATTATAAATACGTTTAGCGGGCGTAAAGTATCACTTTACCGCCCGCGGACTTTCTTTTTTTTTTCTTTTAAAAATTCACATGTAGTTAGTAAAACAAACTTTATTATTATTATTTATTATCATGGAAATATTTGGTACAATTAACAAAATATGAGTTTAATAAAGAAATTATAACTTTAAAAGCCCACACATAAGATCCTCACACTCATCATTTTATACTAATAACACAATTTGAACAATTACTTATAGAAATGTTAGGATTTGCTACCTTGCTCTGTTGTAAGTTGCTACGAACTTCTACTAACTCCGTATGATTTGGGTTACTGCTAGAAGGTGTATGCTCAAAAGAATCGGTATGTAAATTTGAAAATTCAGCTGTGCGACTAGTAGAAGGCATATCAGCATTGACAATTTTTTTGGCGATTTTCATTTTGCCGCAGAATCTTCAATATAACCTTCTGCCACCGTTGAAGACTTCCAACCAGCATGTCGCTTTATGTTAAGGATATCCTCACCTGCATTAGCTAACAAAGTTGCTGAAGATCGTCTAAAACAATGGCCTGTGTAGTTCTTTTGTAGTAGGCAATTTTAAAAGGAATTAGACCAAATGTATTCTTTCCAACCACCTGACTGGAACATTTTCCATTACGATAATACATAAAAAAACGTCCGTGGTTGGTATTTGTCGTTCGTAGTGAAGCATATTTTCGATATAAGTCGAGATAACTTGGTGATTCCTGCTCTTTGTCAATCACACTGAACATGCGGTCAATTTTAGTTTTAGATGCTCGTATGGTTACCAATAAGGTTGTTCCTAAATCTTGAATATCGTCTATTGAAATATTAGCTAATTCCTCTCGACGACATGCTCCACAAATACCAAAAATTAGTGCAACCTACAATAAATAATCATATTAACATAATAGTCTAAAATAAAAAAAAAACAATTAACTTACTTTTATCATAAGATATAAATTATCTGGAGCATCTACTAAAAATAATTCTATTTCTTCCCTGGTTAGAATTTTTGATTTTTTTGGTTTATAACCGTCTGATTTCCGTTTTAAGAATGTTATCAATCTTGAATATCTAGCGGCATTTGGACTTTTCCAGAAAAAATGCAAGAAATACATTTTCTGTATAGTTACCGTCTATAACATTCTTCAATTTGCACCAGCTAACAAATTCATCGTAGACCTTATCGTATATTCTCTTAGATTTGGCGGGTAGTAAACTTAATTTTGCATCTTCTGCTGCTTTAAAAATTTCCGGTGGTATTCCGGAAACTATTTCATCGTCACTACTGTCCATTACATAAACAAAATATACAGTATGGTTCAAATGAAAGGAATAAATTCATTATAATGGAAGTAGCTGGTTTTTCGAAAAAATGCTCGGACAGGTCAATTTTGTTTACTCAAAGCGCAATTTTTTAAATAGAATTCAATTTTCCCCCACTTCCCATTTTTGGGCAGTGACGTCATTGACAATTTTTTTAAATGGTAACCTAAATTTGTTTTCTTGATTTTGATAGATCTTGCAATTTCCTACTCGGAAACATAATATTTGAAATATCTTACATAACAATTTTTTTTGAATAGAAGACATTTAAAGATCAGACACATAAATTTTATTTTATTTTAAGAACACAATAAATGAATAAAAGATAATTATTTGTAATTAAATGCTTAATCTAACAAAATAATAATAATAATAAAAAGAATTTGTGAAATTGTCATTAAATTCTTTTTATTATTATTATTATTTTTTATATTAAGCATTTAATTACAAATAATTATCTTTTATTAATTTATTGTGTTTCAAAATAACATAAAATTTATGTATCTGATCTTTAAATGACTTTTTTTCAAAAAAAATTGTTATGTCAGATATTTCAAATATTATGTTTCCGAGTAGGAAATTGCAAGATCTATCAAAATCAAGAAAAAAAAATTGGGGTTGCTATTTAAAAAAATTGTCAATGACTTCACTGCCCAAAAATGGGAAGTGGGGGAAAATTGAATTTTATTTAAAAAATTGCGCTTTAAGTAAACAAAATTGACCTGTCCGAGCATTTTTTCGAAAAACCAACTACTTTCATTATAATGAATTTATTCCTTTCATTTGAACCATACTGTATAAAACTTCTTCGAAAATATACTAAGAAACTTGCAATACGTGAAGTCGACTGAAAATAAAAATGGCGTCTACCTATTCTTGTCCTATTGACTTGGTTGCTATGGTAACGCGTATAGGTATATAGATTATTGTTATTTTATCATCTTATTAGTTTCAATAAGACTTATTTTTATTTAACTATACAAATGATTTGGTAGATTGTTATACAGGGTGAGTTATAATAATATCGAGGTATAAAATTTATCCAACTTGAAACATTTATAATAACCTACTCACAAAAGGTGAAAAATAGAAAATAAAACATATTTATTAATACTATCATTAATACGGTCGTGCATAAAATTTTGTATATTTATTAATAAATGACTATTAAAACGGTCGTGCATAAAATATTGTATGTATTTCGGGCGTAAACAGCGTTTATGGACCTTACGTGTTAATAGCCCTCGCCTAGCGGCTCGGGCTCTTACTTACACGTTGCGGTCCATAAACGCCTGTTTTACGCCCTTGATACATAAATAACTATTAGCTTCAATGACATTTGCCTTTTTAAATTTTGGTAATTGTTTATTTCTTAATTTTGTTTTGACAAAACATAAGTTTTGAATAGAATAGTTATCTGATACAGAACTCTTTTCATTTAATTTGTTTATTAAATTTTCTTTTACTTCTTCGTTACGTTGTTTATGATCTTGTACATAATTAGAAATTATTAAGTGATCGTCTAAATCAAAGGGATTTGGATTATCAATGTGTCCTTTAATTATTTCAAATGGCGTGAACTTTGTCACTAAATGTATACTATTATTATAACAAAATACAGAATTTTTAATTAGTCGATCTGGTGTGAAATGTTTGTTTTCTTATAAACATCTGTAATGTTCTAATAGACTTGAATGAAACTGTTCCACTAGGGAATTTGAATTACTATTTATTTGCGGTAGTGATTTGTAATTGGAGGATATGGTGTAGTTTACAAAAATCTTCTAAATCGAAATATTTTAATTCTGTGTCACTGTCGGTAGTAATTTTTTGTGGTAGTCCGTGATGTAAAATGAATTCTAAGAGTTTTTTACGACTGATATCCCTCGTTATACTATCTAGGGGATAAGCCTGACCATATCGCGAAAAAGAATCAATTATAGTCAAATAAGATTTATTAGAAATGTAAAATCTAAATGTATGTGTTCAAAGGGTTTTGATGCAAGTCGTAGACACCTTTATCAGATTGTAAGACGACCTTCGTTGTGTTTTATTGGTGGAAGACTATTATTTTTATTTTTCTTACTATAAAAATAAGCATCACATTTGGTTTCACTTTTGCGACTATAATTTTTTTTTATTATTTTTTTTACGCCTATTTTTGTGAGTGGAAGACATACAATTCAGGTGGAAGACGATATTTTCTAATATTTTTATGTTCATATCAATGTGTACTCCAAGTTTCATCCATGCGAAAATGATTTTTTTTTATATAATTTTTTTACTGGTATTGCAACCCTCCCGCAACCCCCTGTCGTTCAACTGGAATGGAAGACGATGATTTTACTGTTTATTGAAATCTGTCATTACCTCCCGGACCATGATAATTAATAATATTAAATTAAATTAACAATTTCATTGTTATATAATTGTAACATTATTTGAGATGTTATCAAATTTTATTCAGTTCCAAGAAAAACTACTTGTTATTTTATTGCTATAGATTGTAGATTTTTTATAATATCTTATCTCCCAAACTTATTTAGGTTAGAGCAGTTCGAGACACTTGTTTTGCAAGTTGCAAAAATATCTTTTCGTTGACTCAGCAAATTTTTAACTTATTTTGATATTATTCCTCCTACAGGATCGCCTAACAATAAAGTATTCTTATTCGGTAGCCTAAAGTGTATATATTTCGAGAAAACTGCAGTTTATTAAGAGAGGTGAGTTTACCAAAATTTATAGTGAGTAACGGGTCGCCGGTATCCAAAACACAGATCACAAGTCCTCAGTCGTGTTGGCCCGACCACGGTCTGAGTGGGAGAGTGGGTGATCGAACTCGCAGAGCTCGGATGGTTAGAATGCATGAGCCGAATGAATGGGAAAGAGTAGGGCATCCAAATAGTAACACAAAAAGCCATTTGAGCTGCAGTGCCACTATGCGAATCCCAAAGGAGGGAAAAGCAGGTTGGACTCACAAGTCTGATTGAGGGGAACCCGAGCAGCCGGGGGAGTAGAGGGATACTCTAAATGCGTTAAAATACGACTTTGCATTGATCATAGTATTTTTTAATATTGGTTCTTTTTATTTATTTATATATTTACTTGAATTTTGCAGTATTTTGCAATGATTATAGAGGACAAAGACCAACAGAGTGACGACGGTATGCATTTTTCTCTTTGCAACTAATAAGTTAAAGTTGAAATTCATGTGGATATCTCTTCGACGAGGATGAAATGTTGTGGCCTGTACCGGGAGATATCTAGATGTGTTTTATTTGCCTTTTTTTTCTCATAATTTCAGATTAAAGGATTGGCTGAATCCGAAAGTAAATCAATTAATCTGAATATTGTTTGTCTAAGATTTGATGCTTTTATTAAAGATAATGGTATTTTATATCCAATTTGTGATCCGATATATTCCCATGGCATAAATAACCTGAGTAAGTATTTGTGTTGTTATTTTTAATCTTTTTGCTTGAGTTTGCAATTTACTGTTCATAAATATTATTTATAATATATATTTTTTTATTTAATGACTCGTGGTTTATTTTTGGATGTTATCTACTTATCATTCGCATGGCTTCAATAATTATAATCGCAATTTTGAACATTTTAATTTATTTGAGCTAAACTATGCCTTCATTAAACATCTTCCAGTATTTTTGAGATAATCTGTATATATTAGGTTCTTTCGTTCGTCCCACTGGTGTAGTTGGGTGTAGTAATGAACTACACCAACCCACACCCATACCTTTCGTTTGGTCCGGTGTAAAACCCACTATACCTTCCTGTCGGCGATGTGGTGTACACTGGTGGATATTTTCTCCACCAGCTATTTAGCAGGAGTGAATTACACTCGACGATGTGTATAAGGAATAAGGAGGAAGTAAATTAGGGTAAATAAGGTGGTGTAACTGGTGTAATTTACACTGGTGGACACTACACCAATAGCGAACGAAAGAACCTATTGTACTGTAAAAAGTTTATCAGTTCGTACATACTGTAAACTATTTCTCGGGGTTAAGGTTTTAAAATCAAGAAAATAAAACACCGATATCCAATTTTAAGTAAGATTTTATGGTATATCATGAATCATATAAACAAACACAAACTGTCTCAACGAAGTCAGGTATGCGTGTCCCTTTTTCAAGTGTTACAGACTGAAATAATAAATAATAAGGTCTTCTTTCCTTCGACTCAGCATTATTCCAGAAAACCATAACATACACTTGTGATTTTTATGGTCAGCGGCGTACATAGCCGTTCACAATACTGAAAATGAAAAGGTTAGCTTATTAAAACATTTTAATTTTAAATAATTCGTGGAATTCTTAATTTTTGAATAATCGCAATATGTTTATATTCAGGGTTTTTTTTTTCATAAGGAATGGTAAATATGTTAACAATAGGTTCAGGAAGATGTATTTATATTTTTTTTTTTGCATTAGTTTCATTACTATTTAACGTATTGCCTGGAAATTTAGAATAATACTGCTCAAACGTTATTTATACAGGGTGCTAAAGTTAAAAATTTTTGTTTGTTTTTTTTGCAATAGTTTCATTACTATTTAACGTATTGCTTGGAAATTTACTATGGTTATATTTTTGGGATAGTAAATCATAAACACTTTTCAATTTTGACAATAAAAAGGGTAACACGTACACTACTGGATGAAGAAAACTTTCTTTTTTTTAAATTTCCAAGCTTTTATGAATAAAATGTTTTTTAAATTTTTTTTTGTTAATATTTCGTTTGCCATGAAGCTATTTACAATACTGAACTCTAGCTTGATAATCCGTTGGTAATAAATGTTGAATTTATGCTAATAGAGAGATATTGAAAATTTCTATAACGTCAGCCAGTAATAGTGTTTATACGAAGTTAAAGGCAAATAAATTCCATGCTAAAATAAAACTAATTGCAAATCTGAAGTTTTGACATTAGAGTCATTGTCCTTATATCATATTCTTAACCTTATTTTAAAAACTTTATATTATAGTTAATTTTTGTTGTCTATACTATTACATAATATGATAGAGGCATTATAAATGGCAATTTTGGGCGATTTAGATGATGATATTAAATATTTAATATTAGAAAACTTCGAACTGATACGAATGTGCTAGAAGAACACCGCTACGTCATAACCATTACTTCGCATTTCGAATATATTTTATCTATAACTTTCAATAAATAAAAAATAAGTGAGTTATTAGGTATAAAACAATATTTCCTATATTCCTATAATATTAACACTCCACTAAACCACCAGTAGGCGGCGATAACCAATTAATTAGTTTGCCAAATGATGACGTAGCTGTGTTCTTCTAATTGTAATCGAACAGTGTTGCCGCAACGAAATATGTTGATGTACCAAACAAATTTGCTAAAATGTACCCAAATGTACCCCATTCTGAATATGTACAAAATTCATATAATTGTGTACCATAAGCGAGAAAATGTACCCAATTGGGTACATTTGTACCCAAACGACAACGCTGTAATCGAACCTTACCACATCCATATAATCCACAATTAAGACCAGGGGGTCGATTCTCGACTCGTAGGAATATTTTCCTATAGGAATTTTTGACATTTTTATATACATCGAAAATTTATGACAGTTTTCTACATATAGGAAAGTGTCACAAATTCCTATAGGAAAAGATTCCTACAAGTCGAGAATCGACCCCCAGGGGGCACCATCTTTAATAAAATCGGTCCTAGAACTTAAACGATCTGCGCATGCTCAGATGTTAAAATAAGAGCGGCTCTAATAGTGACCGACTTTATCTCTCTATTTAAAGTATGCGTTTTTTGTTTAAAATTACAGGTTTTAAAGGTTTGAAAAAAATTTAGAAATGCAAAGTTTAAAAAATATATAGTTTTTCTTTATTCAGTAGAGTGTACGTGGGTAGCGTCCTTTTTCATATCAAAATTGATAATACGATTATGATTTACTAGCCTAAAAATAAAACCCTACCAAATTTCAATACGTTAAATAATAACGAATATATTGCAAAAAATAACAAAACAAAAAATTGAACATTTTGTTTTATATTTAACCTAGTGTTATTTATCAAAATATTAATTTGTTGAGCCCCTGAAAGTATGGTTACAATATTTAACCATTCCTTATATGATACCATTTTGAAGCTTAAACGGTTGCCGAGATATTTAACAAAATTCGATCTAAAAATATCAAGATTTGGCTATACGAGGGCCGTCTTTTAAGTTTTGCATATAGATCTAGAATAAAACAGCAGATAGTGTTTAAATATATTATTGTTTTTCAATGTATTCTCCACGAATGACTGTTTTGAATGCTTCAACTGCATCTTCTGGTGACTGGAACCGTTGCCCACGCAGTGCGTTCTTGATTTTCGGAAAGGTACAAAACTCGACGTTTTGTTGCTCTAAGAGGGCAATTGTTTTGCGAGCTGTGTGCGCACTTGCATTGTCTTGATGGAGGATGATTCGTCGTTTGGTGTTGGTTTCCCGAAGCTTAGCGATGACAGTTGGCAAACAAATCGTTATATACCAATCGGCAGTAACAGTTTTTTGCTCTTGCAGAGGAATTGTTGCAACATGACCTGCTTTGGAGACAAATGTTGCGACCATCTTTTTAGACACACTTCGAGAACGGATCACTTTTTTCGGCTTGTCTTCACCTGGGAAAACCCAAGTTCATATCGCCCCCTTAGTGCAACAACTAGATAACTCGAAATTTATGCATTTTGAGTTATCCAGTTTAATATGTCCTATTTTCATGCTCTTTTTAATGCAACAACTGGATATCATGTACGAGCAACCAAACCTATTTTTGAAGAGTGACTAAAAACAGGTAACTCCCAATATATACATTTAATAACTAGTTTTAGCACTGGTATTATTGAGTTATCTGCCGGCACCTTCTTGGTCGCTATGAGATATCTAGTTGTGTGCTTGAAACAACAGGTTTGTTTCTGTACTGCTAAATTTTTTTTACGGTGTCTTTAAAAGCCATAACTTGGTTAGTGTGCAGAAAATATGCTGGTTGAACTTTTTAAAATCGACGTCATTTATAATTCATTTTATAGATTTTGATGGGGAGTTTAGACGTCTAAATTTTAAACGTAAAACACGTATGTCGTCTTCAAATAATACCTAAGAGCCTTTGTATCAAAGTCAACTACCACTTAAAAAAAATATGGCGACCTTATGTCTTTGTTCAAAATGAATCCTCCGGCCCTCCCTAGCGAGTATAAAGCATTTTTGAAAGTCTTCGATTCCAAGGAGACCAACGTAAACGGCCTTAAAACATGGAAGATTCCCACGACATCATTGATATTGACACTTAAGTTTTATCAAGGGTGGAATCTTTTGGGTTTTATTTAAACTAATCTTGTTAATTTTTTATTCAAAATAAAGTTGTATTTATTAGGTGATTTGCGTTTAATTGTTAGTGGTTATAAATAGATAACTTTACTCTTGTTTCAACAACAACTAGATATCTCAAGTTTTTGATTAAATTCTGCAAAGATATAAAACCTAATTGTTTCCAAAATTAACAAATCATAATTTGATATGCAACATATCTGTATAGATATTAAATATTTTTGATTACTCAACAGGTGTATGGATTTTCTTAAAACTATAAATTTCAAGTTATCTAGTTGTTGCACTAAGGGGACGATATGAGTATATCCATGATTTATCACCACTTGCGATGCAGTACACGTTTTTAGAGTTTTCAGCGTTGAAGCGCTCCAGAGTTTTTTGACACCAATTTACCCTAGCTTCTTTTTGTTCTACGGTCAACAGATGCGGTATCCAACGGAAGACTATTTTTTTTTAATCCCAATTCTTTATGCAAAATCTTTTGGATTGAGGTCTTTGAAATCCCTAACGATTCTTCAATCTCGCGATATGTCACATGCCGATCTTCCTCGATGAGCCTGCGCACAGCATCAATGGTTTCCTGGTTTACTACCGATTTAGGTGCACCTGTTCTTGTCTCGTCACTAACATTAACCCGTCCTCGTGTAAATTCTCCACACCAACGAGGATTTGTCGATTAATGTGGTGCATCACTACCGAAAACAAAAACCAACTCGGCGAGGCATTCTTGTTGAGATAATTGTCTTCGAAAGTTGTAAAAAATGATGGCACGAAAATGTTCTCGGTTTAAATCCATTTCTTAAATAACTTGTCAAATTTGAAAATTCGGTGTAACTACAACACTCTATGAATCGGACTGAAACTTGGAAGTGAGGTTAACTAAAGGCGACAGTTTATTTTTATTAATAATAATAATACTCTCCCTTTGATTCGTAACGCCCTCTAATGCACGGTATGCACGACTTAAAAGACAGCCCTCGTATTTAAAAAATATTTGCAAATAATGTTTTGCCTTTTTGCATAAAAATTCTTCAATATGCCTGGTCTCAAATCCAGTGGCGTATTTTAAGATTTGACGCCACTAGCCTATAAAGTTTAAATTAATAATGACGAAAGGCCATATAAAAACATAAATATTACATTTACATTTTTTTAAATGCACAAATTGGTTAACGAATTCATCAATGACACTGTCATAATTAACAGATTTTGTTAATTCAGCTTCTATATTGAAAATGGCTAAACTGTTCAAACGGTTCTTCGCGAGGGATAAATACAGGTACGTTTTCACTCGAAATCACTACAAATTATTTAAAAATTTCCGAAATCATCACCGAAATCACTTCTAAATCAATTTGTTGCTGAGAACTGTAAACACACCAGCTTGGGGATCAAAACACAAGGAGGGTCCAAAAAAGGTGGACCAAAGATTAAATATTAAGTGAAGAGATTAAAAAAAAAATTTATAGAGAAATCATAGGAATGGGTGATTTTGGCGAAATCACCGAAATTGTGTAAAATTAAGGGTGATTTTGGCGAAATTACCAAAATCGTGTAAAATTAAGGTGGATTTCGGCGAAATCATACGAATTTTAGGTGATTTCCGAAATAAGGGTATGTTTTGACCTTTGTGGTTTACCCCTCGAGGGGCGAACCACTCTCGATATACTGGTACGTTTTCGCTCGAAATCACTACAAATGTTTTCGAAATTTCCGAAATCATGGTCGAAATCATCCCGAAATCACTTCAAAAACAAAATGTCGCTCAAAATTAAAAACGCAGCACTTTGTGGATAAAAAAATAAGGGAAGTGTCCAAAAAAAGTCGGCTAAAATTCAAGCGGAGTATAAATTGAATATTCAAGAAGAGAATTTATAGAGAAACAGGAAATTTTATGAAATGATTTCGCTGAAATCACCGAAATCTTATAAAATTAAGGGTAATTTCGGCGAAATCATACGAATTTTGGGCGATTTCCGAAATACGTACGTTTTGACCTTAGTGGTTTACCCCCGAGTTACCTTAAATTCGTTTTGTTTTCATGAGACGTCAAGAATTGTTGTAAAAGAGCACATTCTTCTTGTGGCTCATCCGCAAGATCAATCGGGTAATATAATTTTTGAAGTTTTATGGCTTCTGCATGAGACTACGTCATACGATTGGTCGCATATTGAGAAGAAGATATTAACCCTGAAATGATCACGTCCTTGTTAAAACATTACTCTTTCACGACACTCATCGTCTCGTTTATTCCTCTTAATAATTATCTTGTGATTGATTTTGTATTCTTATGAGAATTTTTTTACTAGCTTCTTCGTAAGCATCAAAAGATTTACTTTTATTTTCTACAAGAGTGATCAGTGATTCGCAGAGATTTGAAATTACCTCTACGTTTGTGTCGGCACCTTGTAGAATTTTGGAAACTATTTAAAATTATTTTAATCCAGTTCTCCAAAATTTCGATACTATGGCAGGTAGTACGGAATTTAGTTGAGCCAATAGCCCTGTAGCTTCATTTTTAACCAAAGATTTTTGGTGGGCAGAGTTACATTTTATAGCTTCAAGAGCCCCTATTATTTGGCCCCAATCTTTAGTAAGGCTGGCACAAGCATCGTCCCTGGCTGAGCATCGCGTTTGTAACAAACTTGTCACATTTACGTTTTCAGGCTTAGTGATAGCAGAAATACATACAGATTTTGCAACAACCGAAAAAACTCTGTAGCTTCTGGACAGCATTCAGCTGCTGATGAGCCGATCAAGTTTAACGAATGTGCTGCGCATAGTGATATGTGTCTTTGATCTTAGCATGTAGGCCATTATACGGCCCAGACAACGATTATGAAAGGCGCCCAAAGCCTGCTTCTTGTAGTCTGACCCCCTGCCTCGTGCTATGGCACTAGAGTAAATACGCCACTGGTCACTGCTTAAATCTCTACTGGCTATCAAATAACAACAAACGATTTTATGATTCGGAATTTAGTTCAACATCACGTATTTCCCATTCACATTACCAATTTAATTTCTTTTGGTTAATTAAATTCTTTGATTTACAAAACAAAAATATTTGAAGAGTAAAAGCTTGCCAACAAATACATTCATGTATGTGGTTATTTCATCATTCATAAAAATGAGTTACAAATTTATCTTTACCGACCATACAGGGAATAAGAAATGATAATTGATAAAATTAGTTGAAAGTGAGTGGGATGAAAACGGATATTATATTTCCACATAAATACAATTTCTTTGGAAACATCCACATCAATTCGATAAAAAAAATTGCAAGCTCAAGCCATCGGGATCTTTAAAGCATAATCAATTTAATTAAAATCAAAAGTATATAATTAATCTTTTTAAAAAAATGATTGGTTTGTATAATTTTTTGAAGTAGAATAAGAAATTAATATTTTTTCCTCTATAGAGAGTGCACTCACAGGAGATTTGAAGATTGTCCGTTTGGATCATGTGGTTAGTCCGGCTAAGGGCAAAAAAGAGGTCTTCATCTTAGTTGAAAGGGTGACTAAGAGTAAGTATTATTTTTATACCCCGATAGAGTAATTTATGAAGGTTGATCCATATGCTTTACCTTGACCTACTTATAATAATAGTAATCATAATAATAATAATAATAATATTTAAACAATTACTGTATTTATAGTCTCTCCTAATCCTAATGCTCTTATCCCAGCTTCAAGAGCGCTATGGAAGAAAATTTCTCCAACTTTTTAAGCCATTCATTTACGGCTGATATAACATCATTGTCACTTGAATATTTCAAACGTTCTTTCAGTTTCTGGAACATTCTGTAGTCGCTGGGGGCTCAATCTGGCGAATAGGGTGAATGTTCTATCAATTGGAATCCCGCTTGATAAAGTAACAACCATTGCAACACAAGAGGTATTGTCTTGATGTAACAGCACGCAATTTTCGACGTTATTCTTTTAATGCATAGATAGCTTTCCAAAAACCTCAGCTGATGGAATCATTTTGAATGTTCAAGGTGGATGAGACTCGCTCCCTGTGTTTCCACTCTGCTCTGTTCTTTAGTTTCAGGATCGTAATGTTATACCCATGATTCATGTTTAGTAACAATTTCATGGTTGACAAATCGGATATATATGACACAGATCACTTACTTTTAGAATGGAAACTGCAATGTTAAAATTCGAGACAGTATTGTAGCGCCGGGTGAGCGTTCTTTGAACTTTTTGGACGGAAGTGGCGCCATCTCGCGGTCACTTTAGTTGACACAAAACGCGGCATTCGAAATTGTCATTCAATATTTAGTTTAAAAGTGGTAGTCACATTAAGATTTGTTCATACTAACTCCTTTTTTACGTTCATTGTAGCAATAAAATTATATTTGTTACAATAAAGCAAAAAATGAGTAGTATGAACCAATCCTAACTTGACTACGAGTTGAAATATTTTATTATTTATTAGTACAAAAAATTTAAAAGCGTGATCAACAAAATTAATTTATTAAAACAAAAAACATACAAATAGAATAATTAAATGTAGCGTGTTAATTAGCTGGAAAGTTAAGTCATTGTCCACAGAGGTTGAAGAGTTTGATCTAGAACAAAAAATAAATATTAATAAACTTATAAATCAAGAAGGGTACAGGAAGAAAAATTGAACTGGTCCGCCCTATTTTGTAAAATACCAGTATGTTTCCATGTAATAAGCCAAATTAGCAAACGCAAAACAGTGCATTTAAAATTATGTCCAAGGACTTAGCATCTTTTTTCTACTGTTTGTTTGGCACTTTCAGTATTTAGAATAAAATATTACAACTGTCTGGTAAATTAAGTGGTAAACTGTAAACTACAATATAATAAAGACAACATTTATACAAAGTCACATCTTTTTGTAATCAATTACCTTAAAGTATCAAAAGTTTGTATTTAGTCAGTCTAAATTAAATTTGGTTTTTTGAAAATTTTGGTAATTGTGACTTGGCTCCTTTTTTCCCTGAACCCTTCAAATCTGTTAGGGAGCACTGAAAGTGAGGCATAAATAAAAAAGGTATACTGGCCATTACTTCCCGGACTAGGCTTTTTTGTCTTCCACATTCCAATACTGCCACTCCAAACGGCTTGAAAAAGTTTGTACTAGAAGAAATAAAAAACAGTTAGATCTCTGCGTGTGTACCAGGAACTTTCAACTTATCTTCAAAATGTTTATCACATACTAAATAGTTTTTATAAATTTGTTGTTTAATTCTTGAAAAACGGACTGCGAACAGCCAATACTCAAATTTGAATAAATCATTAGGATTTCAGAGTGTTTACAAAACAATTTGGCATACAACAATACGAGATATTACAGCTTTTATAACTAAAAATGACCACAAAAATTTAAAATAAGCTCACAATCGTCAGCAAGATCAAGTAAACAAATTGAACATTAAAAACACAATTGAACAAGACCAAGTTGACAATACAATAATTTACAAAATACTTACTATTTATTCATTCGGGATCCAGAGGACACCCAAATACAAACAAATAATAATTATTATTGACAATATGGTATTATTGATAATCACAATAAAAACAGGACATTGCAAATGTCATTCACTGGGAGGTAATGGATGCCTGACAATGACAAATGACATTCCCACTCTTTCCACCATCAATTGTAGATTTCTGTAAATTGTGTGTACAGCGCCATCTAGAATTCGTTCTTTGAAACTAAAACATAGTTTCAGTTCGGGCTATACCAGTTACCGATACCTGATATATGATATAATATATTTGATTGGGAGATCTTGTGAAGTGAATTATAACAGTTTTATTAATAGTGCTAAATAACTTAAGATCGTCTATAAATAACAGACGGTCACTGTTTAAAAAACCTGTTGCATCATTCAGGAATAATAAAAATAAGACAGGGACAATATAAGATGGAATACCGGATGTCATGGATACTGATAGAGACCGAATTTTGTACCGTAACATACTGAGAGTTATAACTTATGTAAGAATTGAACCAATTAAGATAATTATTATCTGTTAATTTTTTAAGATGCAACTCATGGCAAACACTGTCAAAAGCATTAGACAAGTCTGTATAGATAGATAGCGTCAACCTAGTAACTGACTTTGAGATATGAGGCAAAGAATGTTGCAGTCAATATTGTCAATGTGTTGAACATTTCAATCTGACAGACTACTATTGTAAATAAATCAGGGTAGGAGCATAGGGATGAATCCTTATACATAAATGGAAAACATTTTTATTACGGTTCGAAATTATTTACATTTTATCATATATCCTGCTCTTTTTTTAGAAAATATCAAAATCCGTTTCTACGAATTAGATGATGAAGACAGAGTTGTTTGGCAAGACTGGGGACAATTCAACGATTTGGACGTTCACCATCAATATGCAATCGTGTTTAAGTAAGTATTAATTTTGACGACAGTTGGTCCTAAGCTATTGTTCTATTTTTTAATCTATTTGTGTTATTTCAGGACCCCAAAGTACCGAGACGAGAACATCACTTCGCCGGTTCGAGTGTTCGTCGAATTATTTCGACCGTCCGATGGCGCCAGATCAGAACCCCGAGACTTTCGCTACATCCCCAACAAGCCAATCTTCAAAGCCGGCCAGAAGAGGCCACGATACGATTATGGTTCATCAAGTTACAGCAGTTCGAATCCGGGCAGTGAAGAATTACCAGTTCCCATCGATAATTTACAATTGGAACAGAGTCCGATTTTTAGCGAGATGAGTCCTCTTAGCGTTCCTAGCGGACTGAGCGAAGAAATCAAGAGGGCCATGAATAATATCAATTCCGACGAGTTCAGAAGGATATTTGATGCGCACATGGATGAATATGTTTCCGTTTGCGAGACTACGGATGCGCCTAAAGTCGCAGAAAAGTGAGTTAAGACGATTTAATTTAGTTTGATCCAATGGCGGCTCGTGGTAAAAATTTTAGGGTGTTCTGCAATTTTTACAAAAAAGCTTACCTTTCTAGGAGGGTTGTCTTCTTAGTCAAAGTCCTATCGATTTTATCGTGCTTGCTGAATGATGGATTGCTGGAACGATTGTCACGCAAAAAAAAGCACTATTTTACTGTACTCTATTTTCTTTAAGCAAAATACAAAATGTTTAAAAAAATGACGTGATTAATTTAAACAGAGTGTGACTTTACAGTCTATTTTTTATAAATTAAGTCTATCCTACGTTTTTTTCGGTTCGCAAATTTTGAAATAACTTTTTCATTAAAATTGTCTACTTCGAAAGTAAACTTTTTTCAATAGATAGCATGGAAAGAGCTGTTAAACGATCTTCGGTCATTGCATTTCTGAGAAACGTTTTGATTCGATTTAGTGTTGAGAAACATCGTTCGGCCTCTGATGTTATCATAGGAGTTGTTACCACAATTTCTAATAATTTTCTAGTCTCCTTTTGCTACGTTTAAAAAGTATATTCCTGGATGGAGTATTGAGCTAGTAGATTTTTTAGTCACGAGCTTATGTGGAATAATAGAACGGCTATGGATTTATTTGTGTTTCCCGTTTCCGGTTTTCATTAAAATAACAAACAAACCTTTCTTTTAAATAAATTTTGATCTCTCATCTCCTTATTTTTGTTGCAAGTTGCGAAGAAAAGTTCATTTTTAGCTGTGGTATTTTTTGCTTTCACTAGAAAATAAACCATGTTTACATTTTTGTCTGAGATTTTTTATAAATATTTTTTTTAATAATCAAACATATGAAAATGAATAAACTGCAACACAAGAGACATCGAACGACGTATGTACATCTCAGAAAAGTACATCTACTTTGTCAATTGTCACAGAAATTACATTTACTCCGAACGCTCTAAAATTTAATTCAGAGTAAATAGATCTTACTCGACTTACCAGCTCTGCATTAAAAGACCACGGAGCAGATCCCTTCGAGAAGCCACAGATGTATTAAAAGAACGGCTTCGAGTAAAAAGAGCAAAACGAGGTAATTTTCAAACTCGGCATTTAACGTATCTCCTAGATGGTTTGATATTAAAAATTTTAGTAGAGATAGTGCGCTATTCAATGTCCTGCAATCATTTCTTGAATAAATAACAGACAGTTCAGTTCGGCATTGTTTTTTGTCAAGTGTGGGATAAAAAAGAGCATACGGAAGTGAGTTGTTTATCCTCGGGAAATTTACAATACTCTCCAAGGCATTCCGAAAAAATGTGAGGCAACTACTAGATGCTCTTTAAAATCAAATCGATCTTTTGCTCAATTTAGGGTAACGTCACACACCTCTAAAGCAGTAATCCAGTGATCAAATCTGCTGTTACCTGGGCGCTTGCGTTTATTTTCTGGTGGCGGATCGCTTATTATATCTGATCTTCAGTGGGTTCAATTTTTCTTTGCTGTAGTTGATTGAATAGGATGTCTGCTTGTGGCATCACATGATGAAAAAAAAGTCAGCCAAAAATTGAAGATCGGATCATTTAATGTACGGCGAATAGAGGCGGCTGCACTACAGACTGTGTTGTTGGTGAATTGTTCTTCTATTTCATGCATACACACTCAATGAGAGACACTCTATTTTCGTACACAACATTAATGGTCCTTATATTAAAATTCCAACGGGTTGAAGCGCCGTGGGATATCCTTCTCTTCACAATATTGCTTAAGACTTCTACTCGCTGGGGTGAATTATTAAAAAAGCACGGAATGTCTTGTAAATTTCCAAAAAATACACGTATTTGCGAATTTGCAGAAGCAGCTTTAGACATAATTAAATTTAACTGATGGGCATAGCAATGTACATAGTAAGCAAAAGGATATATTTTTTTAATTAATGCTCGAACTCCTGCGTGTTAAACGCTCATCACCGCGCCTCCATCATAACTTTTTGAAATCAGTTTGTTCGGTGAATTTAAAATTAAAGGATCTATATCAGTTAAAATTGTTTTACTGTTTCTGCATCACATTTTTCAGGAATTAAGTAGTTCCAAAAACATTCAGTTGAGTTTTTGCAGCATCATCCATTGTCTGCCATGATCGCCAAAAATGGAAAATTATAAATTTCCTCAATTATTCGTTCATAACAGACATCGAGTATACACTGTAACAGATCGTTCTGTATTTCTTTAGAGGTGCCTTTAAATACCGAAGAATTTTTTTAGGTTGGTCACTTAGAGTTGCATCTAATTCAGCCGAGAAGTTTATGGGTTCATGAAATATCGCCGTTTTCTCGGAAGAATCGCTCTCATCATGTCCCCGAAGAGCCAGTTCAAAAGCTCCACAAAACTTAATGCAATTAATAATTTTGGATAACATATACCTATTCTTTAACACATTTTCATTATGTCTCTGTATATTTAACCAATAAGCAGAATCTAATTGAGCCATAATATTAGTTGTCCCTAGCAACGCAAATTCCATGCAATTATAAAGATGGCTTTTAGAGTTTTAGTGCTTTTTTATTTGTAAACTTAAGTGTTCTATATCGGTGACCCCTATTTCTGTCCAAGCATTATCGCCATCAAAAAGTAAACAGGGAAAACAGTACAAAGCATTTTTTTGTTGCATCCATAGATCTATTCGTTTTTTGAATAAATATCTATTAAAATTTCGTGTGTAGCTTTTTCCTCTACTTACACCAATTTTTTTCTATAATTATATCTGGTAATGGCCTACCTTTTGCTTTTAATTCCATATTTTCTTCGTATGTATATTTAAAAAAATTCTTTACGTTAATTAAATTGAAGACCACTTCCATAGTACACAAAAATACAATACACGCACCCTTAAAATTATTGTTTTTAGCTTTAACTCGCTGTAAACTCAAAAGTCGCGAATAAATTCGAAAAAAATCGACACCATACGTATTTCGCGCTGCGCTGGACTAATTAAATCACCGGTTTGTTTTAATCGTGGGCGCGGGGGCAGCGGAGTGCCGCGCGGATGTTTCAAAGAGCGCACAGAGCTCCATCATTTGTCCCAGATAAATAATAGTTCAGCGACAGCCTCTGCAAGCATGTGTGTAGGTAGGTAGGTTTTTCGACTGGTCCACTTTACGTACACGAACGCCAGCAATTCCGGCGCTTCGCCAGCAGTTTTTTAATCATTACAATGTGAATATAATATTATACAATTTCTTTTTAATAATAGGAAATATTGAGTTAGATTATGTATTTAGCTTTTTTTTTGAAGCTCTGCAGCACTTATCCACCAGCCGCCACTGGTTTGATCCATTTTAAGTGATTATTTACGAAACTATTGCAGTATTTGGAGACTTATTTCATCCTTCTGTCTGGTCACACTTCAAACTAACATGCTACATTTTCTCTTATTAAACAACTTTTATTTCTAATGGACTATCAATTTTTGAATATTCAGAAACTGTTCTGTCCCTTTTACACTAACGAATTTACCATATATTATGTTTTTCATGTCAATCTTCGATATTTGCAATATTTTCGTAGATAGAAGCATTTAAAATAGTTCAAAATATAACTAGTCACCCAGTGTAATAAATATAACTTTAATATCGAATATTTCAGTATGCAACTAATAACCAGGAGGAAAACAGAAGCGTTGCTGGCTCAAGCGGAAAAATCTGAGGGTATTAAAATGGAAGTCACGGATCAAGAACGTAGGATGGCTATAAAAGTAGTTGAGGAATTGAGGAGCTTCTACAGGACGACACATACACCACAATTAGCTATACGGATATTAAATCATTATTTTCTTGAAGACAAAAGAACGAAGTAAGTACAAACTTATTTATTTGATACACGAAAAATCATTTTAATGTTCAAATATAATCCTAACATTTCTGTTTTAGCGCTCTGCATATCGCCATATGTCAAAGAGACAATCAGTCTGCGTTACTTTTACTAAAAATAATGGTAACATACAGACAATTTGAACTCATAAAAAAATCCAACAACGAACAGCAGACACCTCTGCATTTAGCCGTTCTGTGCTTTAACGGACCCATGGTCAACTCTCTTTTGATGTGCAGGGCTCGCATTTCCGCCTTAGACAGCGATTTGAACACACCTTTGCACTTGGCGATAAATTCGAATGCTCCAATCGAAATTTTGGAAATGTTGCTGATAAAAAGAGAATGCGAGAATGTAAAAGACTTTATAGATTTAGAAAATGAACGTAAGTATTTTTCTGTTCTGTGCTCCTTCTAAATTATTCGAGCAAATAATTTACAAGAAATTATATAATTTCGTAGCAAATAGCATTGCTGAGGAGCAGCATGGATTTGTGGCTGGAAGATCAATTAATTCTAATTTATTTATCTTTACAAATTATGCAAATGATGCACTAGAAAGAAGACCTTCACCTTGATACAATTTTTACTGACTTTAGTAAGGCGTTTGATCGGGTAGATCATGATATTATTAGAAAAGATCAGTCAATTTGGATTGACAAATAATATATTAATACTTATTAGGGATTAATTGAAAGATAGATACTTTTTGGTAAGACGTAATGGTAATACTTCTAGCAGATTCCGTGCTGTTTCCGGAGTGCCACAAGGTTACAATTTAGGTTCATTATTATTTCTATTATTTGTCAATGATTTGCCAAAAGTTATTAAATACTTCAGGTGCTTACTTTTTGATGATGATTTTAAAGTTTATAAACAAATTCAGACAGTACGCGATTTCGTTTCTTTGCAAAAATATATAAATGCTATATATGAATGGAGTCAAAAATGTAAATTGGAATTTAATATTAACAAATGTTGTTATATGATTATTACCCGGTAAAAGCGACCGATTGTATTTGACTATCAAATGAATAGTGTGTCATTAAAAAGTGCTTTCAAGTTAAGGATCTAGGGGTAACATACAATTCTAAATTATCATTTTCTATGCACATTGAGAATACTTGTAAAGCAGCAAATTATGCTCTGGGATTTTTAATGGGGCAAACGCAGCCCTTTTCTGATATTAATTTATTAATAATTTTATATCTTTCATTAATCCGTTCAAAATTAGATTTTGCTTCAGTTATATGGCTTGGAGAATATGAAACCATTTTGCAAGAGTTAGAGAAAATACAAAACAAATTCTTAAGATATCTTTACTTTAAAAAGTACCATATCAGACCTGATTACAATGTTATTAGAACAGCACAATTAATAATAGAGTTTAAAATACCTTCTCTTGAGACTAGACGCAAAATTACATGTACCTTATTTTTGTATAAAATAATAATCAAATACGTTCCTCAGATCTCGTAGCCGTAATACCATTTTGTGTTCCATCACGTCCAATGCGTAACTATGTTTGTTGTTCCTTTTGCAACGATAACATCCAGAGCTTCCCTCCTGATCATGCTTTCAAAATTATGTAAACTGTAGTAAGCACGTATATTGTAATTATTTAATAGTAATTATCCTTGTAATTAGGCCAATAGGCCTGTTAGGATAAACAAATAATAACTCGTTTATGCAAACTTCTTCATTTTTATGTATTAATTCGAATTATTATGGGATGTTTTGGTTTCTGTTTTCTTAAAAATCACAACACTGTACATTTGGGACATGATTTCATTATCTATTTTTTTAGAGGGTAATACAGCTCTTTTATTGGCCATTGAGAAAAAGAAGCTGGCTGCCATCAAACTGCTTTGCAAGGAAGGTGCCGACATAAATAAAATACATCCGAAGAACGGGTTCGTTCCATTGCGATTTGCCATTGAAAAACAACATACGGATATTGTAAAATTCCTTCTAACATTAAATTCCATAGACGCCACAATTAAAGATTTCCAAAATGTCTCGCCATGGGCTGCGGCTTTCAGCAAAGACGCCAATGAAGAAATTACAAAAGCCGTCCAGAAATTTATGGTAAATATAAACTAATAATGATTTAAATGTTTAACAAATATTCGAGGGTTGATCATCGACCTTTTTATTTATAAATAAATAAATAAAACAGGCCAAGTGCGAGTCGGAGTCGCGCATGAAGGGTTCCGCACCATCGTACAAAAGATTTAATACTATATAGGTACTTTTTAAATACTTTGTTAAGATCGAGCAAAAAAGAAAAAAGCAAAAAAAAACTATTCTAGTAGGAGAACCCCTTTAATTTTTAATTACCTATTACGGATCATGAGATACAACCCGCCGACAGACAGACGAATAGGGTTACTCTTCGGGTACGGAACCTTAAAAAATAATATTTTAACTTATTTTTAATAGAGGCCTGAGTGAGATATCTGCAGAAATTTTACATAAATAACGTACGTACAGCTCTTTTTTGAAGAACAAATGCCATATTAATTATAATGGATACAATCTCCAAAAACAAACACCATATCTTAAATGTGACTCAAATATTGAAAAATACACGCTTTTTGCAGTTGATAAACGGAGATGGGCTGCCACAGACCTTTAATCGAAGCATACATAACTTATTTACATGATTACCAGATTATAAATTAGAGCCAATATGAAACTGTCAATAACATTTCCCCCCAAATAAACATCCGATAATTGACATTTAAAAGACGACTTACCCCATTTTGCCTTTTCAGCGACGAATTAACCAATGAATTAACCAATACTTTGACCTGATACAACAATAATACTCGTAACACATTACCTATATTGTCAAACTGCTAAAAATGGGGAGGGATCAACCCTCGCAATAATTTTGCTGTGTATTATGAATTAAAATTATATTTTTATATATTTATATATTTTTATTTTCAGGCTGACAATAGTATACCATTTGAGGTTAAAGAAGAACCCGAAGATGACTCCGAAGATGAAATGGAGATAGACGTAAGTAGTTTTACATCAAAAAATATTAAGGTATTAAATTTAAATTGTCATGAAATTTTGGTTCTTCTAACAGGTTTTTCTTGAAGTACTTAAAACTAATTTATTTTAAGGCATGTATAGAACGTATTGGTTTTTATAGTTATTTTTCTGGTTAAAAGTTTATAGTTTTAAATAAATAATTGTCTTTCAGGAGGAATTTGAAGTCAAAAAAGAATTGCCTCACTTAACACCAGATGAACTGGAAACCATGTACAAAAAAGTCGATACTTTAACACCACAATGTTTGGACGAGGTCTCTGACATATTGGACAAAAGCGAAAATTGGAAATGTTTGGCTGAACTTCTCGAAATTGAACACTTAATTGACAGCGAAATTATTAAATCTGACATCAGTATGAGCAAAGCTGTGCTAACGTACTCTATTGAGGTTAGTTTTTTTTTTATTTATATAATCATTTCATAATGTTAAAAACGATAATTTGGCATCAATTTACGAAAAAATTTAATAATTTTTAATTTGTTTTTCAGACAAACCGAGATTCTATATGGATGATCAGAAATTTCTTGGAGAACCTCGACGAATTCAAAGCTGTCGAAATAATGGATAGGATGGTACAAGAGTTACAGAAATGTTAAAATGTTTGTTTTTTTGTATCTATACACTGTTTTTAATGTAAGATTTTATATTTGTTTTGATTTACGATAAGTATTTTTGTACATAGATAATACAAATAAACCATTAGATATATTAGTTCTTTATATTTTGAGTTTTTTTGCTGAAACCCAAAAGAGTAGTTTATGGAGTCCGTGGTAGTTTTGGTAAAGGATTACCTGCCTATTATAGTACATTTCTTTGGAATACTATCCAAATATCCTTTTAATTTTCATATTTTAAGTTATTCTAAAGTCAGCATGCTATTGACTCGCAAAAATAAACTGATACCATCTATTATGACTTCTCGAAGGCCTTTGACAAGATGGATCATAGCACTCTTCTAAAAAAAAAATTGAAAGTTTCGATCATGACCTTATTTCAGTCTTTCTCAGAAATCGCACGCTCTATGTTAGAGGTCACAAATCTTACCAGTTTATGGCAACCAGTGGTGCTCCACAGGGCAGCAATCTAGCACCTCTATTGTTTTCTCTATTTGTTAACGACATCTGAGAAAACTTAAGTGACTACCTATTATTTGCAAATGACAAAGATTTTTAGAACCATCAATTCACTAGCCGATTGCGATATTGCAGAATGATCTAGATATTTTGCACCAATGGTGAACCGAGAACAAATTACCACTTAATATTGAAAAACGCAAATTAATTTGCTTTTCTTTAAAAACCAACAATACAATGTTCCAATATTCTATTAATAATACTCCACAAAAGATCTTGGTATTATTTTTAACCGACTTCAAAAATGTATGTACAGCGATAATTCTTTAACACACTGTCCGATTTCAATTATTTTTTTAGAAAGGGGATACTTCAGGGGCGGTCCCATATTAATTTGGTTAAAATGTAATAATTGGGTCCATGAGAAAATCCTCAAACTCGTTCATTTTTTATGTATGTTTAGCGATAATTCTTTACCTCCTTGTCCGATTTCTATATTAGAAAATCAAAAATCTCAATTTTTAAGGGTATCTGCATGATTTTGAAGTCGGTTTTTTAATTAAAAAATAGATAGTAAACTTAGCTTTTCAAAACATGAATAAAATGGTACTAAATGCAAAGAAAATGTTCGGATTTATTTTTCGAACTTGCAGACTTTAATTCTCTTCATTGCTTAAAAGTCCTCCATTTTGTCTATATTAGATCTCACATCGAATATGCTGCCTTAATCTGGAGTCCATTGTATAATTTATATAATTCCCACATGGAAAATGTTCAAAGATCATTTCAATATTTATCATTTAAATTGGATGGCAGATATCCATCGCAGGGATTATCTTAGGCTGTTGCTAAATAAATTTGCATTGCTGTCCCTTTCTAATCGTAAAAAATATAATTCCTGTATATTTACTTACAAATTAGTCAATGGTAAAATAAACTGCTCAGAATAATAATAACCTACCTAAATTTTCATATTCCACGCATTGAAAGGTCACATCAATGCTTTTATCTCCTGACTGCAAGAACTAACGTTTTTATCAAATCACCAATTTATTTGAAATGTACCAGTACCTAAATCGAACAACACTTTAAAAATGGCTGGAGACTTAAATTCATGAATTATTAAATAACTTTTATAGAAAAATTTTGTACATTACAAAAATTTTACCCTATAGGAACAAATGATTTACTTGTGGTTTAACACTTTTATTAAATTATATAATCTTTATGTATAACAAAAAAAAAAACGTCTTAATCCATTTTACTTTCAGAATTAACACCAACAAATGTGAAATAAATTTCAATTTCAAATAAATTATTTGATTCATCACATGACTTAACTGTCAACTGTCATCCATCGTTAGTAAAATACGTCACTTTAGTCAAAAAATGTCCAAATAGTACTGAAAATGGTACTGAATTAACTATTTTTAACAAAAAAATACTAAAACTAACACGTAACACTGACGTACTGAAAAAGTTGAAAAAGTACTGAATTCAGTACAAACGTACTGAATGTGGCAGCCCTGTCCCACTGCTTCAAGCGAACATGGACTTCCATCTCACGGAGATATATCTTCCATAAGCCATATAAAGTTATAATAGAACAAATAGAAGGGCCAGAAGTGGCAAGTATGATCCATATCTACACCGGGGTTCTAAAACAAAACAAGGCTCAGGATGTGGAATATACACCAGATTCTTAAACCTGAACATAAAATGGGCTGTGAGTAATAGTGCCAGTGTAGTTCAAACAGAGCTAACGGGGATTCTCATAGCAGCAAAAGAAATAACCAGAAACAATATCACTGGAAGGAACATGCTCATCTATACAGATAGCAGAAAAGCACTACTCACCCTAAACAGATCACGAATTTATTCAGGGTTAATACTAGAATGTCGCGAAGCTTTGGCCGAAGTATCCATCAACAATGTGGTCACCTTAAGATGTATCAAAGGTCACGCCACATCGAAAGGTAACCGTCTTGCTGATTCACTAGCCAAGAAAGTACCCAACCAAATACTTTTTGGACCTGGCCCCTTCTATTGGCCTATCAGTAGCGACAGACCTAATTAAAGAACATTCCCTTGTGAAATTCAAGGAAAGATGGAATGAAAAAAGAAACTGCAGAATTGCCAGGGAGCTCTTAAGTTATCCAGACAACACTGCAGCAAACATATAGGTACTTTACTTTGACTAGACAGAATCTGCGCCTAGTCACAGGCATTCTGACTGGTCATTGCCAAGTACGGAAGCATCTCCAGAATCCGTACTCCGCAGAGGGTACGAACAAGAAGATGAGACCATCGAGCATTTCCTTTACGATTGCTCGACGCTCTCATTTATTAGAAGATTTGTGTTCGGCGAGTATCGGCTAATAACACCGGCCGATATAAGAGAAGCTCACGAGCTAGGAGGTGCCTATCATCTTAGGAGGATTCACAATGGGCCTAATGAGGCCTAAGTGTCGTGGGGGTAACCCACCCTCCACACGTTACAGATACAGATACCGCGACCCACGGGCCGCATGCGATTCACTTTCTATATTTATGCGGCCCGCCAACGAATTTTAAAAATTGTTCAAAAAAATACAAAAGTATCTTTACGTAGCTACCACCTTCTTGTTTAGGTTTACCTCGTAGGACAGCTATTCTACTCGACGGTCCAACCATATTGTTACGAGACTATAAATCTATGCATCCCTGGTTTAAGAAATAGCAATACGATTTATTTATACAATGGCAATACCATTGCAATACTGTATGACGAAAAGAAAATCAAAGTATGTGGTATGACGACTCTGCATGGTTGGCAAGGTTGCATACATTCGGGCGCATTTTGATTAAAATTGAGGATTTCTTCGGATGATTCTCAATTCTGACGTTATCACTAATAGTATTATGACAAGCATTTTTTCTACCTTCTAACGAAACTTAATAAATACTACTCTCCTACATTGCTATTGTTTAGATAAATAAAAAAGGTACGAATTTGTATGTAAAATAATTACCTGTATAATACTTAATTAGTTTAGAATTATTTTCCATGCAGCAGTTTGTTTTTCGTTTTGAATATCAGATGATCCGGCCGGGCCGTGAACTTAGAAAAGAGTAGAAATGAAGAATTTTGAACCCACGTTGATTGGCTGTGTGAACAGTAAGTTGATTGTTCACGGTAAGTTGAATATTTCCCTCATTCGAAATCCGGATTCCGGATATTAAATGATGAGGAGGTGATAGTCACAGCCGTTAAATATTCATTCATTGAAGACATTATTTATGGTTACGGTTCCGTAATTATCGAACAAGTTCTATATAGGTATAGTTAAAGAAAACACCTTAGCTTTGTGTTTTTTTATTTTTCGTTTTCAAAAATACAAAATTGACGTTGCTTCTAATTTATTTCCAGAAAATGTAAAATTAAGTTCCGTTAGTCTATCATACATTCGAATAAACTCTTCAGATTGCCCCAGTTTGAGCAAAAAATGTCGTAAGTCTAGCTATTAATAACTTTCAATTGGTTATACTTTTTGTCTCAGATTTAAATTGTTGCATACCAATATTAGACCACAGTAGGCATACATAACTGATTAGACACCAAAACTACCATTTAAATGCATTAGGTACAGATGCATTAACATTGCAGATTAATATTATTTCAAAAATGAAGTATTTAGGATTTTTAATTGATAATACCTTTAAGTTAAAAGCCATTTCAATTATATTGTCATGGGAATGTCTAAAGCCGTCCCTGTAGAGCGCAATCTTCAGCCTGCCACTCGACTCATGGTCGAAACACCGCTGATGTATAGAGACCAATGACATATATAGATTAATAGACTGCTCATCCATATATAAACAAGACGACGAAAAGCGGGTCATATTGCTTGGCTTGCCGAGTGCTCACCAGGCAGAATCGGTTTGGCCCAAATGAGTTTAAAACTCATATTTCATCAAAGTAGAAATGAATTAAAAAAAAAATTATCTGTATGTTTATTTCAAGACAGGAGCTTGCGTAAGATATTTTAAAAAAGGATTTTGAGTCATAACGTCTAGTTTCCCAATTTTCAAAACATTTTAAGAGATCTAACCAATTTTGAAGATAGATATAAACAATTTTACAGTAATGTGTATATAACTAACTTTAGACCACGACCACTGTATAGTGGCACTATTCGGACACTTGATTAGATTTTTAAAATTTATTTCGCATTATAAAAGCTGATATTATGCAAAAATTGAATGAACTTTTTAAAGATTTTACTAAAAGTTAGTAGCTTTTTCACATTCTAAAGTTTGTTCCCTTTAGACAATTAAGGATTATTTTGGCGGTGAATGTGAATGATTTGATAAATAATAATAAGATTCCACCAGTGGAAATCTGATCAACATCATAGTAAAATGAACTATGTACAAAGTGCAATCTTAGTTGACGTCAAGATCCGATTAGCATCGGTAAGGGAGAAAGAAAGATTCTGACTTACAATCACAAAAAGAACGTACAACTAAGCTTAGTCGATGTAAGTTAGCTCAGATTAGTGGTAAAAAGAAAGCGACTATTAATAAAAAGAAAAGTAATCCAGCTAAAACACGAATTATGGCTATTGTCTTTAATAATGATATGTTGCCAGTACTAGTAGAATGTTAA